TCTCTCTATATATATATATATATATATATATATATATATATATATATATATATTTCATATGAGATGATTATTTTAAATTTTTACAGGATACACACATTCACGGTAGCATTAAAACAACTGAGATGTCAATGTTTCAACCAATGATAGAGGAAGGAAGGATACATGTCATCTCTAAGTTCAGAGTTATGAATTCCTTTGGCAATTATAGGGCAACTGAGAATAAATTCTCAATATGTTTTTGCCGTATGACACAAGTTCAAGTACTACAAGAAGACAATGACAATATCCCTAGGTACAAGTTCAACTACAAACCATTCAATGAGCTTTATAGAATGAAAGGAAACAAGACTTATTTGGCAGGTAAACTTTTATTATAATTTTTGTATCATGATATAGTTCAAAACAGATTATGCAACAAACTTAATATAACTTATTTCTCTTATGTTTGCTTATTTCAATTTCAATACAGATATAATTGGGTTTGTAAAAGATATATACCCCTTGGAGCAAACTATCATTTCTGGAAAGCCAGGGACTAGGAGAGCCTTAAAACTAATCGATGAAGAGTGAGAGTTATCTTATACATCACCTAATCCAACTGTTAATTGTATTTACTAATGCTTGACACTAAAACTTATTATCTTTTATACAAATCAGAAACACAGAATGCACTGTTACTTTGTGGAACCAAATTGCTACAAATCTAGAGAGCGCACTGATAGATCAAGATCCAAACAACATGGTTATGGTGGTCAGTGGAATCTTTGTTACTAATTTTAGAGGTAAGATGAACAATTATACATGTCATAAATAATTTCTTTCATCAATACATAAGTAAAGAGGTTACTTTACGCATAACTTTGCAAATAAAATTTCAGGTAATAATTCTGTGTCATCAAGCACAGCGACCAAAATCTACGTGAACATAACTGAACAAAGAGTATTGGAATTATCTCAGAGGTAATTTTAGTATCTATATTTTTTTTACATACGTAATTAAATTATATATGTACTGACATATGATTTCTGAGCATATATACATAGGTACATGGAGTCGAAAACACAGATGCAGCTAATAGAGACACCAATTAATTACAAATCAAAGCAGAAATTGCTTGAAACACCATCTGCATCTTTGAGCGATCTTATTTTATTCAATGATCCAGAAACCGCTGAGGTAATAAAGATTTTAAAAGATGGCCTATCAGTTATGCAAACTTATTATCAGCTCATATTCATCTTTGTAATTTAAAGGAATATTTCTTTATATGCAATGTGAGAATCAATACTATAATGGATAACCAAAAATGGCGTTATCGCGGATGTCCAAATTGTTTTAGAAAAACAATTGATGCTGGAGATACATTTTGGTGCGCAAAGTGTGACATAGAGGTATTTGCAGAAAATAGGTATGTGTAAATTTACAATACGATCCACAAATACATACCACAAAATGACTTTTGATAATAAATGTTTTGGAATTTTTTTACAGCTATAGGATAACTATGGAAGTTCAGGATGAATCTGCGAAAACTACTTTCGTTGTTATGAACAAGGAAGCTGAAAAATTGGTGAAAATACCGGCTCAAGAGGTTGCAAGAACAATTAAACATGTGAGTACATCTACCTCTTAAAGTATTTTGAAACTCATTTTAAAACACATTCAGTATGTGCCTAAAAAATATTTATTCATTGATCAGGTTAATGGTAGAGAAGTTTTCCCGGAAGTGATAAAAGCCATATGTGGAAAATGTATTAAGGTTCAGGTAAAACTAACGCGATATAATTTCGTGGAAGGTAATGAAGGTTTCACAATAAACAAAGTAATAGAGGAAACTTCAGACAGTTCAGGGGCAATCTTATATAGTTCATACTTCTTTTTGTTTATTTATTAACATACATGAACATCATTATTTGCATTATATCTACTACTAATATCATTATTATGAAAAATAGGATAAAATGGTTTACATTGCTTGAAGATGTGAGCCACGTGCATTATATTCTTTCTAGATTTTTCTCAAGTGAACCACTATAAGGCAAAAGCACAGCATGGACAAATCTAAAGTAAATCTACTGATTAAAAAGATTTGGCAAAGTTTGACATATTTCTTTAAGACTATATGCAAGAGTATATACCAAAAGACCAATATGGATAACATAATAAGATATCATGAACCACAACCTAGGGAGACACACAAGAACAAATACATATGAACGCATGCAAATGCAAGCCATCACACGCGAGCACAACATATAAACACACAAACAAGCATATGAGAAATGATAAACGCATAAAGTGTCAGGTCAAATTGTAGATTTAACAACAAAACTTGGTTTGATGGTGAGTTCAAAACAGGGATACGACAATGAGTCTTTTTGCAATTAACCCAATTTAGAAAGAAAGAAAGCCAACCATAGTTCAAAACTAAAAAAATATCACCCGCCCCGCCATGGTAATGGTCTTTGTCAATTGGAACCGCCCAGCATGAGCAAGCATAACATATCGCTTCGAGAAAATTCCAATAACAAGTAATAGAACCTAATAACAAAGCCTGAGAAATAAACATCAATTATTACTTCATTTTAAAGATAGTACAGGAGAGAAAGATCAGCAATCATAACAAATTTTGATAGAAATATCTCAAAGGGACATTAGGTTTAATCATTGATCCTCAAATTTAAGGAGCTTGAGGGTATGAGAACTGAGAAGGCACTTTTATCAGTATAAACTAATCTATTAACACTACTAATCATCATCATAATAGCATAAACCTAATCTATTAACACTAGCTTAGAACTAAAATCAAAGAAACCTAACAATAAAATTGCCCATGCTTATTAAATAATGGCTAAATTTTGCAGCCCAAAAAAGCTCCCATATAAATATGGGGTGTTTGCCATTACGCCCCCATCTACGTTTTTTCCATTAAAAACAACATTGGGTTCCAATTAACACCAAAATTTGCGCCCCAGGCCAAAAAAACCCTTTTCATTCATTTCAAAAAAAAATTATGTCAGAAACAAACCTTCATTAAACAATTAATCTGTGATAGATTGGATAGCTAACATTCATTGAGGAAGCCTGTAATGCCTAAACAAAACATAACTTGCAACAATATACAATAAATCCATACAAATCAATTATTACAAATCAAAGGCCACTATAAAGAACAAAACAATACAAAACAATCAAAACAAAAAGCCAAAAAAGTTAAAAAATACAGTTCATGTTTTATTCACGGAATGCTCGACAACAATTAGGCTAAACTGGCATGTCATAACATTTAGAGTAACATTTTTTCCAGTTTGAGTTATTTGAGTGAAATTAGAGGCAATATATGATGGTGGCGTTACATTAAAACCAAAATAGTAAATACCAGATAGTCGAGGAAATAGAAATACAAAATTTAAATAATTCAGAATCTAATGAAATTTACCTTAATATATAAACAATATTACATTGATCTTTATCTGTTATATTTGAAATTTACCCTAACATGTTATATTGTAAATTTATTCAAATTCTGAATATGAAAACTGCTGCAAATCTATACAACAAAAATCACCTCAAAAATTCACATATATAAACTTTGGATAGATTGAATACACAGAAATCTACATAAAAAATTCAAGAAAAAAGCAGACTATGCAGCAAAATTATCTTGGAAAAACAACTACATTAGGGCCTAATTCAAAATCACGGAAAGCCAGAAAGCAACGGATTCAGAATAAGTCTCGCATTTGCATGTTATCTGTTATATTTGAAATTTACCCCAACATGTTATATTGTAATTTATTACATGTTATCTGTTATATTTGAAATTTACCCTAACATCTTTTATTACATGTTATCTGTTATATTTGAAATTTAATCAAAAATTATCTGTTATATTTGAAATTTAACCTAACATGTTATATTGTAATTTATTACATGTTATCTGTTATATTTGAAATTTACCCTAACATGTTATATTGTATTTCAAAATCCAGGTACCAGAAAGCAACGGATTCAGCATAAGTCTCGCATTTGCATGTCTACTTATCAAAGAATACTATGCAAATATATCACCAGAATCAGTTAACATGTAATAAAAGCTAAAAAAACAGCTAATAAGTTTATATATATGCAATAAAAGATGAAAAAAGTTAGCATCTTTCCAGTTAAGTAAAAATAAACAAAACTATAATCAAAGACAAAAATAAATAAATCCTCATAAATAATAATAATAACTCAAAATATTCCAAGAGACCGGTAAGAGGCTAAAAGTCTCGCATTTGCATGTCTTTTGTGTCAATGAATGCTAAGCAAATATACCTCCATAAACAGATAACATGCAATAAAAGCTAAAAAGTGTAAATAAGTTTATATATATATTATATATATTATATGTATGCAATAAAAGCTAAAAAAATTAGTATCTTTTCAGTTTAGTAAAAATAAACAAAACTATAATCAAACAAAAATAAATAATTACTCATAAGTAACAAACAAACTCAAAATTTCCAATGAGACAGGTAAAAGGCTAAAAGATCATACCTTGGTGACAAAACTCTGACGCTTCACGACCTAACTTCTGTCTTCGAGATCTATCGCATGGAAGATGAAAGATGATAAAAGTGAGAGCATTAAAGAATGAAATCATCAATCTTTAAACGTTAAATCAACAAATCTGAAAAAAAAAGAAATCTTTACCTAAAACAGTGAACGACGACGAGATTCGACGGAGGAGTCGACGACGAGCTTCGAGGGTGGAGTCGACGACGAGATTTGATGGAGGAGTAGTCGACGAGATTCAATCCCTTGATCAATTGGAGTCGGTTTTGAAGGATGAGAGTGAAAGCAATTTCAGATCTGAAGGAGGCGGCGTACAAATGCAAAAGAAAACACCCAGCCCTAAAAACCCACTCTTAGCTATTTATATGTGTATAATGGGTGTCATTTGTAAAATAATATTTACATAATAATTATTTGCAATAATTTCAATTAGTAGGACTACCAAATCAAACATTTAATGAACTACATTTTGTTAAATTTTCTATGAAATATTTATCAAATTAATAAACAACTGAATCAAACATATCTTAGGTTAAATTCTATTTATTTATAAACCAAATACTGAAAAATATTTTTTTAGTATTAAATAAAATATCGCTTCAAAATTGATCATATACATAAACGAATAATAACCAAATATTAATTAATTTTTCAATTCACTTTCACAATTGTGCTTAATTTATAATTTATAGCAAAATATTAAATTTATTTATAGCATAATATTTAATTTTGTTAACATAATCAATATTTAATTTTGCTATGCAAGAGGAGCATTAACTAAGTAAGAGATTTGGAGAATCATGGAGAGTAGTGATTTTTTTTGAAAAAATGGACGTGGCAATTTATAACCTTTGAAAAGTTGTTCTTTATTCAACTATTTCATCATTCAAAACAATGTTAGTTCGAGATGCATAAACAATTACAGTAAACTTTGGATACATTTGGTCAAATTCTATTCATTTATAAGTCAAACACTAAATATTATTTGTTTAGTACTAAATGAACTATTGAATCAAACTTGATAGAATATACGGATGAATAATAACCGAACTGTTTATTAATTATTCGGTTCACTTCCACGACTATAATTCATATCTAATGGTGAATTCTTTATTTTGGTAACATGTTCAATATTTGTAGAAAATCTTTTAGGAACCGTGCTTTGCACGGGTCTAAATACTACCAGGAAAATATTAAAATTATTTATAGCATAATATTTAATTTTGTTAACATAATCAATGTTTGCAGAATATAACTTAAAAACCGTGCTTTGCACGGGTCTAAATACTAGTTTACATATAAGAAGGGATACCCAAATCTCGCATAAATTACACTCCTTTGTAATTTATCTTATAAAATAATTGAACTTTTTTAAAGGAGGGTTATTTGCATATATTCCTCTTACATAGGTATCTATAAAAATATCCTTTAAATCTTAGTTTTTATAAAATTATCTCTTAAATTATTAATTCTAAAAAAATACCCTGAAAGCAATTAATCGTCATTAACTTTGATAAGTAATTAATTTATAACTGTAATGTAAAAAGTATCAACAAAATAGTCAAATTTTTATCACCAAGTTGATGTTTTGTTGATTTTAAGGATATTTTTTTACAAAGTTGATAATTTGAGAAGTAGTTTTACAAAACTAAGATTTAAATGGTATCTTTACAAATACTCTTGATGTAAAGGATATATATGCAAATAACCCCTTAAAGAAGATCGGCTTATCTACTTCACCCTCCGGGCAAATTCATAGGGTTGAAGTATTTAACTTTATTAAATGAAAATAATAAAATATAACACATTAAGGGGGTGTTTGTTTCAAATCCTATAATTTTAGGATATGGATTTCACCATGTGATTTGAAATCCATAGGTGATTTGTTATGGGTTGGGATTCCTAAAACTTTGTTTGTTTCAACAATATTTTGGGATTTGGAATACTATAATTTGTAATATTTTGTTTGTTTCAACAATATTTTGGAATTTAAAATCCATAATTTGTATAAAGCTTTTGAAATCCACCCCACATCCCACATCCCACGTGAAAAAGATGATTTTACAAATCCTTAAATATATTATTTTTTTATTATTTGGGGATTTAATATCCTAAAACTTATTTTGAAACAAATAAGTTTTATGGAATTCTAAAACCCCAAAAAACCTCTTTTTACATCCCAAAACTTGAAATTCACACCATATTCCAAAAAAATAAAACAAACACCCCCTCATAATTTCTATCTCTGCCTTTTAACCATTATCCTTAGAACAATGGAGGACAATTGTTAGCAAAACAAATTTAATAAGAAGACATTAACAGTCTCTCTCTCTCTCTCTCTCTCTCTCTCTCTCTCTCCGGTAGCAATTGCGCCGCGCACTCCATCTCGATCAGAGTCCCAAAACAAACGCTTACCAAATTTATTTCTTTAATTTTTTTTTAAATAATCAATCTTCTCACTGCACGCAAAAAATATCTTGTCTTGCCCTACTGTAGCGTAAGGTAGCAAAACTGTGGATTAATTTTAGAAAACTCCCTCAACCTTGGAGGGGCCTCACAAAACACCCGACTATTGTCACTCGAGAAAACTTGTCTTGTTGTTTCTTGGGTGTTCTAGGTAACCCCTCAACTTAAAAAATTTAACTTAAGACCCCTCCATCTATGAAGTGTCTCGCAAAACCCTCATTGTCTTTACTTTTCTCTCATAAAATCTCTTGTAATGTTGTTACTTCAAAATATGATATGATCTATTATTTGATAAGAGTCCATTTCAGTTGAAATATACTTTCTAACCAGTTAAAAAAGATCTTGAGCCATTTACAATTCCATTGTAGTATATAGCTGTATATTATATATAAGTATATTATATATACTTATAAGTTATAACTTGAGAGAGAGAGAGTATAACATAAGTATATATGACGTATTTATAAATATGTATTTGTTACATACTTATATTATGTTTATTTAAGTATAGTTATATACTTTACTTATATGATATACTTTTATATATACTAGATGCAATATACTTATATATAATTATACTTATGTACTTATATCTTAGTATCTATATCATAGTAAGAGAGAGAGAGAGAGAGAGAGAGAGAGAGAGTGTCTCTCTCTCTCTCTATATATATATATACTTGCATACTTACAAGCTCTCTCTCACACACACACACACACCGTTCATACTTGCATACTTAAATATATGCAACTATATACACTTAAGACTAAGAGGCTACAACCACTTTCCTTAAAAAAACATATACACTTAGAAAAATATATGAGTATACATCAGCCCGGAGTCCGGTCACCCCTGAATTTTTTGGGCTTTTCCCGAGCCCGGGGCCGGGTTCGAGTCAGACACTGGGCTAGGTCCAGGCCGAAAGCTCAATTGGACACCCCTATGTTTTACCACTCTCTTGTAAGAAGTTCTCAATTTTCTCTTTTAAACAATTTAGCCTCTAAATTTTATCCCTCTTTTCTAAGGAGCTCCCACCTTTTTTTCATTGATGACAAAATCCATAAGTTAACAAGAAAACATGGGGGGTTCTTACGAGAGAGGAACAAAACTCATGAGTTCCATTGTCATAAAAAAAGTTAAGCTTCTTAGACGAGATTTTTTAAGTCACATGCTTGTCACATGACATGTTAGAATTAAATGTATTAATTAGAGGGCTCAAGTGAGAAAGTTTAAGGAATTTTCTCAAATTTCCAATTTTGAGAGAGGTTACCTACAACACCCCAACCTTAAGGAGAGTTTACTCAAATTAATGTTGTTGAGGCCTTGAGGGGGTGTCGTCAAATTAACATTAATCTCGGCTTTTATGCGGAAGGTCCCATAGAATATCTTCCCCTGTATCTTTCCGTGCGCGCGTTCTTTCTCCCTTTGCCGTTGGCGTTGAGAACTAATCCCCAACCAAAACCCCCCTTTCCCTATTTTATACTCTTTTTTTAATATATTTTCCCTTTTAAAATTTAGTTTTTTTTTTCTTTCCTAGCCTTCAACGATCTCTCTCTCGGTCGAAAGTCACGCGCTTTGAAGGTCACGGAGACGAAAGCTTCAAACTTTTTACACGATTTCCTAAATTAATCCCTCGCTCCTTTATAATTTCTCGAGGTTGAGCTTGATCTCATTCTGCAGATTGTTTCTTCGCTTCTTCATCGATCCCCGATTCGCGAATTTAATCGGCTTTTTCTGCTGCTGGTATGATCTCTTCTTTTCCTTTTTATCGCTGCCGTGATTCAAATTGAGTGATTTTGTTGATTAAGCTGCATTTGCTTGATTGGAATGGGGGCAATTTTGGTTGTGTTTCATATCTTTTTCGGGCTTGATTGCATCTGTAAGGACTATCGGATTGATTGGCGATAGGAAAGTATTTAGAGTTTCGTGGATTAGTTTGGTTACCCCTAAATTTGCTAATTGGATGAACAAAGTAGGGGTGCTAAACCGTATCCGTCTCCGAGGAAATATCCGTGGCCGTATCTGTTAGGATATGGATACGAGTACTCAAATCTATAACCAATAGGATATAGTTACGGATATGGTTTTGTAGTGAAATATCTATATCCGTATCCGAAATATCCGAGTACATATTAGTCATACTCTTGCGATAGTTTTGATTCTTAGATTATTGATTTGTGGTTAATTTTGATGATCAAGATGTCTAATATTAATTTTTCAGTTATAATGAAGATATTAACGAACTCTTTGTATCACATGAACTATATTTTTGATACGAGTCGCCGTGCGAGCACCCTTGATCGCGGAATTATCAAGAGTGGGTTGCGAAGAAAATAATAGAAGAACACACAAAAGAGTTGATTTGGGCGAAGGAAAATACCTTCTCTAGATTATGAGAATTAATAGATTACAAATCTCTCTCTCACAATCTCTCTAGATCAAAGAACAACCTTCCTGATCTCTTTTCTGATTACAATATCGTTGGAAAACCTTAGGAAAGTCATGTTTCTATTTATATCAAATAGAAATCCTAAACAGTGCAGGAAACTGGGCCCAGGCCCAAAACTGCGTCGCGATCGACCGCGGCGGTCGACCGTTGCTGATTCGCGGTCGACCGAACCAAAAACCCGAGAGCAGTTTTGATTACAGTCATGGCGCGGTCGACCGTGACGGTCGATCGGAAACGTGCGGTCAACCGCGACGGTCGACCGCCTAGCTTCGTGCACGTTCAGAAGCGCAGAAGCACCAGCAGCCTTCTTCTGTTCGTTCCTGCAGTCTTCGACGTTGCCGCCCCCGACGACTTCTTCCACGTCTCCATTCTCAAGATACCATGAGAATCATCTATCCTCACACTTATGATGATGATCGCTAAGTTCCTGAAGAGAAGATACACCGTATCATGGGTCCTCCCTTTAGGAACTTAAAGTCCCGTTCAAGTTAGAACTTCAACTGAGGGAACTCGCGAGCCCCTCCTTCTCTATTGAACCACTTAGTCTTGTTAAGAACCTGACCTTGACGTCCAATGAGAAACGACTCATTCGTCCCCTGTCTCGTCGTGGTCATCTTTCGCTCCAAAATACAATCTTCTTTCAGCGGCTCCTCTCTATCAAACCACAAGTCTTCAACATGCGGTAAGATCATCTTATCGTCACCTTCATCATCCAATAATGGAGGCTCAAACAACTTCAAATACTCGGCATTGATCACCGAATACATGCCTAAGTAAGGCGGCAAATCTAGTCTGAAAGCGTTATCGCCAATCTGATCGAGAATCTGAAACGGACCATAACGAATAGGCTTTAACTTCTTCCCCTCTCCTTTTAGCCTCTCCTTACTCAATTTTAGCTATATCATATCGCCTTTGCCAAAGTTACAAGGAACCCGATGTTGATCATGCTTCGTCTTGTACTTAGCTTGTGATTTCTTCAATTGAGCTTCAACCGCGGCATGGATATTTGCAATCTTCTTTAGAAATCGCTGAGCACGTTGTCTTTCGTTCCCCTCTTTGCCGTCAACAGTAACTTCACACGAAAATACTAGATCGAACGGACTTGGTGGTAAGAATCCATAACACGTCTCAAACGGTGACCTTCCCGAAGATCCATGAATCGTCCGATTAAAAGCAAACTGTAAATATGGTAAACTCTCATCCTAAGTCTTAGGATGCTTAGAATTATACCCCCGTAACATATGCACCATAGTCCGATTGACTACCTCCGTTTGCCCGTCTGTTTGTGGATGAAAGGCCATACTCTTCTTCCGTTTAGTGTCCATCAAACTCCACAAAGAATCCCAAAAATATCCGAGAAACCGGCTGTTCCGATCCGAAATAATTGAACTCGGCAACCCAAAGTGCTTCCACACATGCTCAAAGAACAACTGCGCTGCACCCGCTTCCATCACGATCTTCTTATAAGGAATCAAGATCACCCCGGTCCACCACAACGTACAAATAGTCATGCCCGCGCTTCGTAGTCGGCAACCCTCCTAGAAAATCCATAGAAATGCTCTCCCACGGCCTAGAAGGAATCGGTAGTGGTAGGTACAATCCCCTCTTCCTGTTAGAAGGCTTCGAAATACAGCATAACTTACACCCTCCAACATATTTGGTCATATCATCAAGCATCCGTGGTCAAAACACATGTCGCTGTAGATTGAGAAGCGTCTTCTGAATCCCAAAATGCCCTTGCACACGCGAGGTATGTGCTTTTCGAATCCACTGCAACCTATCACCATCCTTCGGAATACATTGTGATGTCCCACGATACAACAAGCTATCCTCTCCAAGTGTATACTCCCCCATTCGACCAGCCTTCGTCTGCTCGAACACATTACCGAAGTCTCTACTGGATGCATACAACTGTACATACTCCAACGGAACCAATGGCTGAATGCGCGTCGCCACCAATAAAAACCTTAACGGCGGACGAGATAACATATCGGCCAACTTGTTCGTCGTCCCCTTCTTGTACCTAATAATGATGTTGAAAGCCATCAAATAAGACATCCACTTCATGTGCCGGGCCTGCTGTAGCTTCGTCTGGGCATGTAAGAACTCCAACGGCTTGTGATCCGAGTGCACAACCACCTCCTTCCCCAACAAGTACACCCTCCAATGCTTAATTGCTTGATATAGTGCATAAAACTCATTGTCGTAGGTCGGGTAATTCGCAATGGCACCCGAAAACATCTCAGAATGGTATTCTACCGGCTTCTCATCTCGAATTAACACCGTGCCCATCGCATAACTAGAAGCGTCGGTCTCCACCTCGAAAGTCCGCTGTAAATTCGGCAATACCAACACCGGTGCTTTCGAGATCTTCCTCTTTAGCAACTGAAAAACCTCCTCATGCATCCTCCCCCACTCGAACTGAACTTTAACCTTTGTGAGGTCATGTAACGGTACCGCATAAGTCAAAAAATATCGAATGAACTTGCGCAAATACTGACAAGCCCACATGAAGCTTCTTACCTCAGTCACTGTCTTCGGCGTCGGTCACTTCGTCATCACCGCCATCTTGCCCAGATCTATCCTCCTCTGGCCCTTTCCTACGATGAAGCCGAGATACACCAACTCATCATTCTCAAACTCGCACTTCTTCCCGTTGAGCTTTAGCTGTCCGTCCTGTAACACTTCAAACACCTTCTCAACATGAATAAGATGCTCCTCCCAGGTCCTGCTGTACACCAAGATGTCATCAAGGTAAACTATCACAAAATCCTCTATAAAAGGTCACAACAAATCGTTCATAAGTCTCATAAAGGTAGCCAGAGCATTGCAAAATCCAAACGGCATCACCAACCACTCGAACAGGTCCTGTTTGGTCTTGAACGCAGTCTTCCAAGTGTCTTCCTCCCGTATCCTCACCTGATGATAGTCAGATTTCAGATCCAACTTCGTAAAGAACCTCGCTCCCTCCAACTGGTCCATAAGGTTATCGATTTGCGGTAATGGGTAACGATTCTTTATGGTTATCTTGTTGAGCGCTCGGTAATCCACGCACATGCGCCAACCTCCATCCTTTTTGGGCACCAACAATACTGGTGACCCGGAAGGCGAACAACTCGGCACAATCACTCCCGTCTCTAAGAGCTCCTGAACCTGCTTCTTGATCTCTTCGGACTCCTGTACTGATGTGCGGTATAAACCTATGTTTGGTAATGAACTCTCACCGGTCAACATAATCTCATGCTCTACACCTCGACGTGGTGGTAGTCCCGTGATCTTCGAAAATAAGTCCGCATACTTGACCTTCAACCTGTCAAGATCTCACTCCTGAAGCTTGCTCAAGGTGGACAAACATATCCTACTTAGCTGTTCTTCATAAGGCCGAATGAACAACAAAATGAACTTCCTGTCCGCATTCACCAACCTCTTAGCCTGAGTCACTGTCACCAAGCTCGTCTCCTGTGGAAGAGATGCCGAACGAAAAATAAATTGCTCGTCATCCTTGATGAATGTATACTTTTGGGCCCGCCGATCATATACCACGTATCTATCCCACAAGTAAGGACTGCCCAAAATAACTTGACAAACATCCAACGGAACCACGTCGCATGTGACCTCGTCAATATACGACTCATGGAGTGCAAACCTGAACGTACACTGGTTCACCACACTCAATCCCGCCTCCTTCTGAATCCACCATAACGGATAGGGCTTCAGATGCTTCACCGTCTTCAATCACAGCTTCTGTACTAATGCCTCAGATATCAGACTCTTCTGACTTCCTGTATCTACAATAGCATCCATCAAACTGGTCTTGACCTGCAACTTCAGAACAAAGAGCTGCTCCTTCGGGTCGTCGTCTTCTTTAATGGCCTGCTTTTTCACCATAAGGTTGAGACTGCTATTGGGTTCAGTCATCCCGGGAACCTCCTTCGGACCTTGTGCTATCACGTACGTCTTCTTCTCCTCCTTCTTTAACCCTTTTGGCTTCAGATGAGGATACTTATCCTAGTAACGATCAGCCACGTGTCCTGTCTGTTTGCAGTGATTGCATGTCAATCCTGTCTTTCCCGAGTCACCCTTCTTTTTTTCGTCCTTAGGTTGAGAGCCATCCGACTTGCTCCCTGATGGTTTGGAGTCTCCCTTCATCTCGTTCCTTTCTTCTGTCTGCCCTCAATGGCAATGACCTTCACGCTCGTCTCTGCGATAGTTTCGACCGAGAACAGCTTCATCTCCTTCCGGATGTAATCATTCAGACCCGCCATGTACTTCATAAAGATGGGGTACTCGTCCGTTGCGATGTTTAGAACCATCGCCTGCTGTTGGAACTCCGTCGTGTACTCTTGAACGATCTGATTATACTTTTGACGCAAGTCATACCACTTGTACCAACGCTCCTCAAGGAACCCCACTGGATAAAACTGCTTCCTAAGTAGCTCCTTGAACTTATTCCACGATACCATCCTCTTCTCCTGTTTGTAATAGGATTTCCACTATGTCAACGCGTGCCCCGAAAGCTTCAAAGTCGCGAACACTATCTTTTCCTTGGATGAATATCCGTAGAGAGTAAAGTACATCTCCATATGCTCGATCCAATCATCGAGCTTCTCTACATTGATACTCCCATCATAAACAGGAATCTCAACCTTAAAGTCAATCTTTAAATTCTGGTAATTATTCTTACCCCCTTGATGTCCAGCGATCTTAACAATCTCGGTCTCCCCCTCTGAATCAGATCTCTCGCTCTCTTCATCGGACTCGACGAGTTTCTTCTTACCATTCGGAAAAGATTCCTTCTTTTTGTCCCCTCTGTTGATGAGACTTACGAGTTCGGTGAGAGTAGTCCCGATCGTCTCGATCTGCTTCTCCATGATATCAAGTCTTGCTGAATTATCTGCTTCAGTCATCTTCTCCTTCATTAATTTCTGGACTCCTTCCAATGAAAGAATGATCTCACCAAGCTTCTTGTACTGTGATCGAGTAAGGATTATACACAGGATGTCCCTTCACAGGATTTGATTTGCTCTGATACCAAATTGATACGAGTCGCCATGCGAGCACCCTTAATCGCGGAATTATCAAGAGTGGGTTGCGAAGAAAATAACAGAAGAACACACAAAAGAATTGATTTGGGCGAAAGAAAATACATTCTCTAGATTATGAGAATTAATAGATTACAAATCTCTCTCTCACAATCTCTCTAGATTAAAGAACAACCTCCCTGATCTCTTTTCTGATTACAATCTCGTTGGAAAACCCTAGGAAAGTCGTGTTTCTATTTATATCAAATAGAAATCCTAAACATTGCAGGAAACTGGGCCTAGGCCCAAAACTGCGTCGCGGTCGACCGTGGCTGATTCGCGGTCGACCGAACCAAAAACCCGAGAGCAGTTTTGATTACAGTCATGACGCGATCGACCGTGGCGGTCGACCGGAAACGTGCGGTCGACCGCCTTCAGTTCCAGCTCCTCCTGAGCTTCGTGCACGTTCGCGGTTGACCGTGGCGGTCGACCGCAGAAGCACCAGCAGCCTTCTTTTGTTCGCTCCTGCAGTCTTCGACGTTGCCGCCCCCGACGACTTCTTCCACGTCTCCATTCTCAAGATACCATGAGAATCATCTATCCTCATACTTCTGATGAGGATCGCTAAGTTCCTGAAGAGAAGATAACACCCGTATTAATTTTTCTCAATACTATCTACTTTTCTCATAGCTATTTTGTATCCGTATCTGAATCCGAGATGGGTAAGCGGATATGTATATGGTAAGCATCATATCCGAGCCGTATCCGGACAGAATGCACCCCTAGACCTTGTTTCTGTATTTTAGCCCGAAAAAAGCCTTTATGGCTTAACCCTCATCATGAGATATCTATGAAATAAATAAGTTGGCTTTGTATGTCTATCATTTATTTGTATCATGCATTTGAATTGAACCTTTCCTTTAAAGTAAAAGTGAGAGAAACTTGGTGACGGTCTACAGAAATTTGCAACTGCAACCAGTTGACAGCAAGATATTTATTGAAACGTTAATTTTTTGAAACTTTTTATAGTTGCGAAAGTAATACAGATCCAGCGGAACAAGTAGTTGCACTTTGCAACTTTAGTTTCTGGAATTCTTGAGAATTTGGTTGATAATAGTTTGAGTTTCGGGCTTTATGTGAATGATAGGTGCTCAAGTATATGATCAGTTATGATCGCGTTGTTTCTGTTATTCTGAGTTGCACATGACTAATTGCTTTATTCGTGAGTTTGCAATCCCTTTCTGCAACAGTCCTATAGTTTCTGCTTGTTTATGTATGATCTTTGACGTAAGAAGTGGTTTTGACATTCTAGTTCATCTACAAGGAGCATACAGCACGGGGTTGTCAAGAAAAGGGGAACCCAGTAATTTTCCGGCCAGCACCATGACAAATGTAATTCATTATGAAGCTGGCAGTTCTAGCTCTACTTCTGTTAGCAGCCAAGGGAATGAGACCAATGATGATAGGATGATTGCAGAAATTCTCTCTGAGGAATATGCTAATTTAGATGGTGCAGTTGGAAGACGTCTTTCAAGCCTGTCATCTATTCCTGTGAGATTTTAGTCTTTTATCAATATTATTTGCATTTTGATGGTCAAGAATGGTGCTTTTGCAGTTTTTATTGTCATTTAGGACGAATAATCCTTGGTGATATAGATATCTGTTTGGATTCTCTAATTTGATCCTTTCATGTGCAGATCTATATGGATCCTTTGGGGTAAAGTTGCACCCCTATGAACTTAAAAATTACATTATAAAGCTTTATAAAGTTGCAATCTGCCCCCCCATATTTTAATAAAATTTGCACCCCCAACAAATTATGAAGTGTACTGGGTGTAGTGAAAAGCAATCAAGTAGTTGAAATAGTTCTAAAGTATGATAGAATTAAGCTGATAAAATGTACGGAGTGCATTCTGATCCGGCATTATAGTTTTGTAATAGGGTCACATAACCCCCCTAACTTTAGAGGGTGTTGCATATAAACCCAATGAACTTTGTTTAGCTCACTTAACCCAGCTGAACTTTGGGGTGTGTCACAAAACCCTACCCCCCTACATGTAATTTACGAATAACTAAAGTTTTATTGAAAGAAAAAAAAAATCCAGAATTTAAGAGAGAGATGGTATATTACCTACAAATAAGAAATAACAAAGTTTAAATTTTGTTCTCTTAAGAAAATTTTAGTTATTTGCAAATTACATGCAAGTAAGGCTATGTGAGGTTAGAAGTGACATTAACCCTTCATTATATTATATCTTTAGTTTTAGGTCAACAGATACTTATTGTCCGCCCCAATCATTTTTCCTGGATCCACTAATGGATGTTTTCATTTGTTGAAAGTATTTTTCCTGAGTCACTCATTAAATATTCTAAAAATTGCATTGGAATTTCTAATGCAATTTTCCTTCCCATGTTTTTTTTTCAAAATTTGTGTTTTACCATATGGCTTTGCTTCTTTAATTTGTACACACACTAACTAAATGCCCGCCACCACCCAACACACACAGACATATACATTTAGAGACGCACACCTATATGTATGTATGTATGCGCGCGCGTGTGTGTACAAGGGAGAGAGATGTACATGTATGCCCACCCTACTACTCACATCGAAGCATGTGAACTTCTTATCTCCTGTTTCTTGGCAACTCATACCCGGTATTCCTGTTTCTGTGCATGCGTGCGCGTACGTGCGCATGTGTTCTCGTTGAAGATTGTATCCATTCGTCATGGACATATTATTTTATTTTCTGCATTGTTTCTTTAACTTATGTTCTTCCTGGTAGGTAAGGTAATTTTAATCTTCTTCACATTATTTTTCAAAATATTGCAGCATGTTCCTCGGATCAACACATATTTTCCAACAGTGAATGATGCAAGTCTAGATCACCAGCGTTTATTTCAGAGGTAACTACTGTTCTTTGGCAGTTATCAAAAGAGGGATGTAACTGTTACTGTTGCAATAATTTAATTTCATACACTTATTTCCTAAATCGCTTTCTTATCATTCATTCTGCATATTAATCATCTCAGTTTGTTCATTGCTAACCACTTGTGGGCTTCTTTACTTTATATTACATGTTGCCCCCTTCCCCCCATATATATGCCCCATTTTATATTTTTGGCCTTTCATGTCATTTCTTGAATCTCAATCATGGTGTATTAATAATAGTTTTATTAGTCTATTTCTGGACTTCTTCGGACCAGACCTGTCTTTGTCTGTTCTCTATATAAGTGTCATTTTGTGAATTTTATCTTTTCTTATTACTTATGCTACATCTATCATCATATGACTGTATATATAAAATGTTAAAATAAACCGTGTGTGTTCTCCTTTAAAGAAATGCCACATGCGAACCATATTCCTTTCACATCTTTGCTGGCAAGACCATCCACTGATCATGCCTTACATACTTCTTTCACATGTTTTTTTTACTGATATTTTAAGTGCCTGTATATTTAACTTTTCTTATAGGTTAAATGCTTATGGCTTATTTGAAGTAAAGGTTTCTGGTGATGGCAATTGCCAGGTATGTTTGCTGGTTTATAATTAGTCAAATAATTATAAAAGATGACTATTTTAGGAAACAGGATTCTGAAACTTTTGATCGTAATTTTTCTTGTTCATATGGCAGTTCCGGGCAATCTCAGACCAGCTGTACAGATCACCAGAACATCATAAACATGTTCGAAAAGAAGTCGTGAAGCAGGTATCTGTTAGACATTCTACTCATTTTCAGTCTTTTGTATTCTTTTCAGTAAGCTTGTTGCAAGGACTGTAGTGGATCACACAAATTTGTAGACCCTCAAATATTTGTTGTAGGACCCAATCGATCTCTAGGTTGTCATGGTTGAGAGTGGATGGGAATGCAAGTGGATCCTATAAATTTATAGTGGATCTTCGAATGGTTATTGTAGGATCCAATTTGTTGCCACCAATGTTACATGTGTATTTCTATGTGAAGCCATACCGGTACCCAAACTTCTTGGACACTTCTTGAATATATGCGTAACTTTACTTGGGTGTGACTCAGTTATGTAATGCATATTTAATTTAAAACACTCTTCATACACTTCTTGGATGTATATTCTAATCGTTGGACATGGGTTGGGTTCGTTTCTGCCATACAGAATTTTAATTCTCATAACATGTGAATTAAAACCAATATTGATCTCTTGTAAATTATTAATTTTAATACATATAAATATATGTATACATACATATATATGGCTGTCTCCCCGTACCCTACAAATTTGCTGTGTCCCTTGCCAGTACTTGTACCCGCATCCATTTCTATGCAACTTGGGTTGCCACTAGGTTGTTTTTGTAGCTGGCTTTGAGAGGGAGGCTGCAGGGAAGATTAGCTGAGTAAAATTTAATGCATTTCCTGCAGCATTTCTCTTTTGATGCTGATATCGAGTTTCCCCCTTTTCTCCTTTTTATATATTTCTTTCCATAAGTAGGATATTTTTGGGAATTGATTAGGATCTTGTGGGTTATTCAGCAAATGACAATGCATTTCTTCTTATCAATTTCTCCTTTTCTTCCACCTTGTCCAGCTTAAAGAGTCCCGTTCTCTATATGAAGGTTATGTTCCCATGAAGTATAAGAGCTACTGCAAGAAAATGCGGAAGTAGGTCTTCTTGTACTGAAATTAATTTTCTGCTATTTTTTTTCTTGAGGAAAACCTCCCTTTACTGGCACATGACAGTCTAAATTACATTCCACAGGTCAGGCGAATGGGGTGATCATGTTACATTACAAGCAGCAGCTGATAAGGTAGGTATTCAGAACTAAGTTTAGCAAATGTTGTTAGACTTACGGAGTCATCATCTACCTAATTTAGCATATAATTTTGCTATTATGTGATGATATTGAGTGCATGTTTATATTTTAATCTAGATTTATTGGCTTATTCAGAAAATACATTTCTGAACTTGTTTAAAGATGATTTGGTTTACTGGAAGCTGTACCATCCTACTGTTACATTTTTGTGACGGTTCTGTTAAATGTAGTCTTGACAGAAATTGTTAGCTCAGGATGGAAGGGGGGAGCCTTAGTTTTCGTTCCATCTCTCTTATTTGGGTTGATTTCACAATGTCTTCGTAACTGTTGATATAGAATCTTCAATATATTTGTTGCTGGCTGGTTGCCATTGCTTTCTTATATAGTCATTTGAAAAAAGAACTCTCCTATGCTCTAGTTTTATTCTCTATTTTATTTGCCGTTTGGAGCAATGAGTTGTTTGCTTACTACGTTTAGAGATACCTCTTCTGTATGTGAATAAAAATATCTCCCTACTCATTAATGTTATTTACTATTTTATTTGCAGTTTGGGGCAAAGATTTGTCTGCTTACTTCATTTAGAGATACCTGTTTTGTCGAAATTGTTCCACGAAACCAGGCACCTCAGAGAGGTAATAATGCAAGTTTATACTCAAGCTTCATAAGTATTATGCAGAGAACTTTAATAGATTTCAAGTTCAAAATTTCTATTATGACAACAATAAATATTGATGTCACTCGAAGCAAGAGCAGACCTGTTATACATTTTGTATAAATGCATGGAAATTTTTGCAGCTGAGAATAATCATTAGCTTTCATATGTAAGGCCAGAAGAAATCCCATGCTCTGGTACAATGTCAGATAGCAAATTTACACAAAAACTGAAGTCTATGGATTATGGGAAGACAATGTGAATCAATCTTAAAACTTAAACAATTCCAATATTCATCAGTCATTTTAATTCTGTTATAGCTTTTTTTTTTGGTTGAATGCATATAAGTGTATCATATGATTTTTTTTTCTTTTCCCTATTGTAGAGCTATGGCTGAGTTTCTGGTCTGAAGTACATTATAACTCACTTTATGAACTCCAAGGTCAGTTATTCTTATCAGCTCTCCTGAATGTTATTTTTTTAATTTTTTTATTACTTTGATAGCTTCTATAGCATGCTTAGTTTATTTACCTTCAGAGAGTTTCTTCTTCCCACATTAAAACTGTTGATAATTGTTTCTTGTGGTATCTTGCAGATATGAAAGTCAAGTACAAGCCGAGAAAGAAGCATTGGTTATTTTGAAGGGCTTCCTATATCTGTAGCATTGATACTGAGGTTACTTCAACATTTGTGCATATATAATTTTATTTTTTCCTG